TGAAGTTACATTTATTTAATACTTCTTGCACTATTCAAAACATTTTTTCTTCCTAATAACTGTGCATGTGGACATTGTAATACATACGGTTCATCTTACAAAATTTAAAATTTCAGGGGAAATTATTGAGAATTCACATGGTTAGTATCTGTCATCAAAATAAATTAATGGACATGTCAATATCAAAATGAACCTTGGATGTCAAATAATGAAGAGACGTGGAAATCAAGGTATGAACGGACATGTGGATACAGTGAAACTTATTTATTTCAAGCACAGATAGTGCAAATTTATGGATCTAGTGAAGTTTTGTGGGATGCCCAGAAAAATTCTTAACAATTTCTTGTAAAAAATTACGGTTACATTAAACTCTGATATGACAAATTTATGGATTTAGCGAATTGATTTTGAGTCCCGTACAGGTTTAAAATAATGAAATTTACATCTTTTATAATGAATGTTTTCAAATCTCAAAATTTAAAACATCAAAATGACATTCTTTTTTATAATAAGTAATATGTAAAACAAACCTGTGGATATCTAGAAGTCCTTGGCCAGCTGTCAATAGCCACCACAATTCTCTGGCTCATTAAATCTGCTGCTTGTCGGGTCTCTATTCTAATTTTTGGAATTTTCTTATCTGCAGTAACCACCAGGTGTCTTGTAGCCTTTTATCAGAAAACATGATAATCAAAAACTATTTACATGTACCAGGTACTCTCATTTTTGTTCTTGAAAGTATTTCTATCATTATTATTTAATACATGTACTACATGCACATGTACTTCAAAATATCAAATGCATGAAGATGAGGGAAATCCCATTTTAGAAACAGAGGATATTAACAACTTTATACAGCATTGTTATTATAGAGTATAACATTGGTATACCTGTTTTAGCATTGAGGGTTGTAACATGCCACAATACTGCCTCCAGTTTCTCTTTATAATCCCCACAACTTTGCCTGTAGGTTGCCGTAACTCTTTAGGAACCTTCCTACGCTTCTTCTCCAAAGTCTAGAAAACAGGAAAGTAATTCTAAGAAACACGTAAATTTTCTTTAAATTTGTGATTCTTTAAGGTTTATATTTTTTCTTTCCTCTCCTCCACAGACAATCAACTAAAGATTACTGAAAATCTATCAAAACTACATTTTCATGTACAGTTGAACTTCGGTATCTTGAACATGGATATCTCGAACACCATGGATATGTCAAAGTAATATTGAAGTCCCAATTACCTATTCTTTAAGTATTTTACCCTGGATATCTCGAATCCTCAGATATCTGGAAGTTTTTTCTTGGCCCCATCGAGTTCAAGATAAGGGGATTTGACTGTAGATTGTACCAGTACATGTAAATTTTTTACACCAACATTTCACAGGTAAAAGTAAATCTGTACACTCTCACCTTTTCTTCCTCCTCTTCATCTGTATCATCCTTATTTTCCGTGTGGACAAGAATCATGGAAGATGGACAACTCCAATCCTCTTCCTCTAACATCTCCACGGCAACAATGTCATCATGGACAGCTCTGTTCAAATGCTGAAGCCCTTGTATGAATATCTGAAGCAAATTACAATTACACACTCATTGATGCTTACATAGAAGGAATAAAACCTGGGATCAGTGTTACGTTTTAGCATAAAAATTTACCATTTTTTCTTCCTCAGACACACTGACATTAGCCTCAGTGTAGTTTTCTCTACTAGCCATGAACTTCCCTTGTCGATATTTCCCAGTTTTAAGACCTTTCTGTATAACTGACAGGGGGAGGTGTTCTGGATACTGAACTTTATCACCTGAAAACTGATTATACACAAAATCCATTACCGCTGGGAAAAGAAGGAACTTATTTTCTAGCACACTAATTTTCAAAAGGTCATAATCATATTTCAGATGTCCCCTTTTCTTTTAGTCATTGTATTTGTACAGGAAGTAGCACTGTGCATTGATTTCAAGGTTAGTATATCTTTATATTAAAACTGACCACTTTAGATCCGGCAAGTGACAACCTGTCCACCAAATCTTTTCCATCTTTTAAACTTCTCACATACTGGTGTACTGCAACATTGTCAGATACAGGCTGATTAATAAAAGTCACATAATGTTGTTTTCTGTTTAGTACCTATGAATACTTTCTAAATTTCTATGACTATAAAAATAGTCCATGATAATTTACAAATGTAAATAAATTCCTGAAAGTTTCCAGTGAAAGCTGCTTTAGATGACACTACATCAATACTACATTTATATGGAGAGAAAAAGTTTTCAAAATCTTTCCTGAAATGGTCTTCACTGCAACAAATATAAAATTTCAATCAGGACACTGAATCCTTCTGTTTTCTATAATAAAAGTCTGACTCACTTGTGTAACTCTTTAGACCTTGGTCCAGTGCTTTCTTTCGATTGTCTGCATCATTGGTCAGTAGCAGAGTTTGTATCTCTCCCTGTGTGTTTGTCTGTAAGTGCTGGTTGTACCATTTAGCAGCCTCTCTGATCGCCCGGTCATTCCTGTCATTAGAGGACTCGCCGGGCTCCCTCTCTACATAGGTATGCCTAAAAGTAATGAAAAAGTGTTGTGTCTAAATAGTGCTGAAAAAAGTTTTTGGTGCACACTTAGATTTCCCAAATTTTAAAGCTAACTTTTCTCATGTATAATTTATCTTATTTTTTTCTTAAATCAGCAAATTTCACTACTAAAAACACCCTAATAAAACTGAAGAGTATATTGCATATTAAATTTGAGATATGGAATGCTTTAACTATAATGGCACATATATGGCCAATATGTTTAATCATTTAAAGTCTGATCTTGAAATATTCCCAATAAAAAGTCTCTAACAGGACTATAGCTCTACTGGTTTATACTTGTAGTTTTCCACTAGAACTTGCATTTTTTAGCTTTACATTTATAGAATGTTTCCTGAACTTGTACTAAGTTTTTACTGAAATCAAACCAAACAGTAGGAAAAGTAGCATTTTAAAAGAATTACGTAGCTTATTCTATTTTTAGCTACTAAAAATCTTGAAAATACTCTTTGAATATGCCATGCTGATTTATCTCACTTGTTAAACTCATTACAGAAGCTGTAGAAATGTTTATCTGGATTACACAAGATGTCTCTCAGTCTCTTATATATTGGCAGACTTCTGTGGCGAACCTGCAAAATATGCATGACAATAAAGTTTTAATGCTTTTATAGTTACTAATGATATATAGAATTGCATTTAACCAAGTAAAGTTCATGGTGTTTAAAGACTTTTTCAGTACAAGCACAGCTTACTTTTTCAGCACAGCTTACCTCCTCTAGAACTGTCTGAAGTATAATGACATTCCTTATTCTGGGATCCTCAAGTACATCAATCTATTACATAGGAAATAAAAATAAATGTATCCATGTGTTATAGTACATCAATCTGCTGTATACAGGGAAATATTCATCCCAATTTTATTTTGGCCTACTCACAGGTGAGCGAATTTAAAAAGGGACGAATTCAAAGAACACGGTAGCATTTCTTAAACAGAACTGTAACTGGGTGAATTTAAAATGGGGCAAAATTGTTTGCGAATGTAAAAGAGCGAAAATAACCCTGTATACAGTATTTCATAGGAATATAAAATGCATCCATGTGTTATAGCACATCAATCTATTTCACAGAATATATAATGTATCCATGTGTTAAACTACATCAATCTATTTCACAGGATATAAAATGTATCAATGTATTATAGTACATCAATCCGTTTCACAGAATATAAAAATAAAATGTTACCATGTGTTATAGTACATCAATCTATTTCACCAAAATGTATCCATGTGTTATAGTACATCATTTTTTTATTTCACAGTAAATAAAAATAAAATGCATCCATGTGTTATAGTACATCAGGCCATTTCACAGGATATGAAATGTTTCCATGTGTTATAGTACAAACTTACATCTACACAATGTAATGAAGCTTTCAAAGATTTTCATCTTTTCTGGCCCAGTGGTTATTGAAAAGAAAATTTTTAAAATATTTCATTAAATTTTCTATAACTCTTATTATCCCCCTCGAAAGAGAGTGTGACACTTCATTTGAATAAACTTGAATCCCTTTTACCCAAGGATGCTTTGTAGGAAGTTTGGTTGAAATTAGCCCAGCAGTTCTTGAGAAGTCAAAAAAGGTGAGTAGTTTACAGATAACACATGCCATACACCCTTCTATCGGTAAAGCTCACTTGACCCTTCAGCTCAGATGAACTAAAATTTACTCTTTTACATATTATAATAGGTGTGTATATCAGGTTGGGCACTGCCCAACAAACGGTGGTTTACTATAGTATATATGACCATGATCCAGTACATATAACTGTGTTCAGATTATCTGCAAAAGACTGTAAAAAGCTAGAAAAATGGAAAATTGAACGAGCAACAATTCTAACCTGGTGTAAAATGACATTAGTATCTGGGCACAGAAAATGTAAATCACTGCACATTTCACTCTGGCTGGTACAATCAGCTTCTAAAGTCGAGGGTCCCTCACATACGATACAACTTTCAGCGCCACACGCTATGTCATCTCGTAAATAGTGCTCACGAACAATCTTTAAAATTTTCCCTGTTTTCGTCTTCTTTATAAATGTCTTAGAAGTGAGCATTTTCCCCTTATTGAAACTTTGTAAACTTGAAAATGTCAGAAAACATGTGTTCGTTTTACAATTCACTTTTTTACCTCCAAACATTAGAGAGGGATTTAAGGGCTATTGTACTTTGTATCATTCGAAATAGCTTTTTTTTTCAGTGAATAGTTAACATTCAATCAACATATTATTATAAACATTATGAAATACTTCGTGAAATAAATCATAAACGTTTTTTTAATAAATTCATTGTTATATTACAAAAAAGAAAGGAAACAAAAATGTTCTAGTTACTATAATCGAAACGCATCTCACGATTATTCTCTATCTGTCAAATGTTTTAAATTATGAGCGATTAAATGCTCAGTAGAAGCGTAGGATCAACGACGGTGCAATCGATTTCTGCTTCGTGGAAAATAAATTAATTCACGAAATGACGACTTTTAGAGTAACAGCAGATGATTTCCATAGATTGGAGTCGAGATTTGATTCGTTGCGGAATGAAGTAATGTTTTTTAGTCAGTGGCATGAACCCTTTGAATTTGTATTATTTATGTGTTGCCTGCAAAGAGAGAGAGAGACTTAGAGACACTTTGTTGCGATCTGTTCGTTTGTCTGTCATCAGTCTTCGAACCCCTAAAACGGAGAATACCCCAATTTGTACAAAAAATCGCACCTTAAATTATTGCAATAGTGGGTGCCAATCAAAGAGCCCTTCAGAAAACTACCCAAGTCAAAGAGTCCCCCTCCCCTTAAATTTAGTCTAAGAACCCCATAACTTTGGTTGAAGCGTTCCCCTAGATTTGGTTAAGGAGCACCCTGACATTATTTTATACAATTTAATTGTTAAAAACTATCCCGAAATATTTGTCAAAACGTTCCAAGTACGGTGGTCAAAGCGCCCCTGACATTTTTGTAGAAATTTGTCGTTACAAAACCCTCCCCATCATTCCCTAAAAGCTCGAGCTGGATCCTCAAACGCTGGTAAAATTCGGGGGGGGGGTGATATTTTAATTAAGTGATACTGATGAACTTCTTAATTATTTTTTAATTCTAAAATTTTTTTCCCTAAATTTTTGTTTAGAAAAATCATCAGTGACAAATTTCTATTGCATTTTGTTTTATTGATTTCACTGACCATTTAATGTAGATGTAAATGTATGCTCATAGTATATTTTTAGATTGAATTGAAATTTAAGTTGCAATGAATTATTATTGAGGCATTTTAAACAAAAGTTAGAGGTTGCTTTGACTAGCATTTGATGAATTTGTATAGATTAAGAGTGATTTTCTGTCAATTCTATGGGGCACTATAACTAAAACTATTGGATACTTTGACCAAAATGTCAGATTATTTTTATAAATATTTTGTTATGGGACACTCTGGCCAAAATTAGGGGGTGTGCTTTGATCAAGACTTGGTACTTTTTTTTAGGGATGTCAGCAATTACCCGGTTAACCGGGTACTCGATCGAACGTCCGAGTATCGAATACTAAAAATGGTACTCGGTTACTCGGATATGTATTTTTTCTTATTTCAAAGTACATATTTTTATCAAAATCTTATCAAAAAATAACTTAAATATGCATAAGGATAATTAGCGTGTCGTTATCTACACATGTAAACACCCGTTATCGCCTATGGCTGTGTATATACAATAATTAGTGACCAATCACCTGGTAAACAGCTGTTCTCACCTATTGTGGTCCTTTTTTTTATGGCTTCAATGATTGTTTTTCAGTGAACATCGTTTAATATGGTCTTTTATCTTCAAATCATTTTTACATTATTTAGTTAATATACGGCAGCGAAATCGGACGTGCATAGAAATGCCGCTACCCACTTCAAAATAAGTAGATTCAAAAAGTTTCCATAGTGTAGACTAGTGATCCAAGCAACTTCCGTTCCAGTCTAATCATCACAAACCTGCGTAACAGATTCTCCTCCTTTTGCATTGATGAAATAGATCCTAAACAAGAACTGTAAACCATTTGTAATTTTTGATGTATTAATTGCATCATTTGTGTTTATCTAATAAATAAATTTCCGTTGGACTCCATGTTTATATACATGTACATTCATAAAACGTGATTAAAACAGCTTTGGGGTTTTACAAATTAACAATTAAAAATTAACAAACTTATATTTACATTTTTACCGAGTACCTGAGTACTCGATCGGAAAAACATCTGAGTAACCGATTATCAAAAATTGACCAATTTGACATCCCTTCTTTTTTAAAAAAAATTATTTTTTATGAATTATGTTACTGGGCTTTTTGACAAAGTCTATTGGATGGCACTTTGATCAATATTTGGGGAAGGTTTTGACTGGGGTGGGTTTTTTAAGGGGGCATATTGACTAGTATTTGCGACAGTGTGGTTCTAGAATAAACAAAGTATGGGGTTAGTTCCCCTTTCATTCTTGGATCTATGTCTCAGAATATTCTTTATTGTGTATCCATTATTTAGTACCGGTATATACATGTAGTTAATTTATTATAATTTTTTGGTATCATTGGCCTTTATTACCTTTCACAAAACAAAATTATTTATATGTGCACTTGTTATAACCAGTAAAAATCAAAGTATTGGCCCATTAATTTATATAAAGAATTAGTCTTAGTAGTTATTGAATTTTCATGCAGAATTCCAAAACACTGCTTTTCTTTAAAACACTGTACTGTGCTGACTTCATATAAAGGTATATGCAATTTTTGCAAAGAAGGATTCCACTGCTAAAATTCAATTAATATTACATGTATTTGCAGTATATGGTTTGCAAAAGAAAGCTAGAAAGCAAATGCCAGGCTTTGTTGATCCTGACCAAAGAGATGGGACAGTGTAGAAGTGAAAGGGACCAATTTAAACTGATGGCTGAGCAACTCCGTGAAAGATATCAGGGTCTTAAAAAGCAATTACACGGACAGGTAAATTGTAAAACGCAAGGCAGTTACCTCACTGTAACAATGTTGCTAGTGGATATGGTAACTGGGCCAAACGTGATGTGTGTTTGTCTGTATGTCAGTATGTGGATCATTGTTGTCAAGTCATGATAAAGAATAAGATGTTCAGAGGAAGAAATATAATGATCTTGTTATGAGAAGATAAAGATCAAATCTTTAACAAGTGGTGTTAACATGATTTAAAGAAGACTGTTTATATTTCCATTCTTGATACAATGACACATGAAATTATACATGTACATTACCAATTCATTTTAATAATAAAAAAGTGTTTGGAACCTACATGTATACCTGTGTTTGCTTTACATATTGCCTATAACAAGAGGATTTTTATATATATTTAATCAAGGTCAAGATAAAATTAATATGCAGCTCAGAATTTTTATTTTACTATACACTAATGAAAAATTTATAAGAGCTGATACTGAACATGGTAAAATTTGTTTTTTATAATGTAAGATACAGACATGAATGTGCAAGTAAATGTAGTTCTTGATATAGGAATGTTAAAAAGTCATTATTTTCTGTAATTCTGATGAAAAATAATGTCATGTACCATGTATGTTTCAGATTCCTAAAAACTTTGATGATAGCAGAGCTGGTCTGCACAGGCTGGGAGAGGTAATTGATCAGATGCTATAGTGTTATTTTATATAAGGACTTCATGAAAGTAAGATTTTTAAACTAGTCATACATGTACATTTCCTGACACAAACTTTGAGTTTTGAGATTTTACTTTCAATCTATTCAAGGTACTTTTATTACGTACAAACTCTAAACAGTTCTGTTTATTTACTCTCAAGGTGCCTTCCCAAGCTCTTCTGGTTGAGTCAAGAGAACACAACAAATGTCTACAGTTTGAAGTAGATGATCTTAAGCAAAAATTGCAAGATGCAAGAGGTGACATTAAGGTAAAGTGAGAAATGAGGCTTTGTTAGTACTTAGAAACCTGTTACACAGTTTTCATTAATGATGTCATTTTAATCTGGCTCTCTTGTACTAATGATAAATCTTTTAAATGAATTTTTAACAAAACAATACACCATGAAATATGTTTATGCGTGTCATTGAAAGTACTTGGATCATTCTCCAGGTATTAAATTAGCTACTATAAATAAAATCAATATATAATTATCTCTAATAAATCTATAAAATTGTTTATTTAGCTGCTGAGAGAACAGATAGCTCGCCAGAGAGTAGGGACTACAGACGAGGGAATCAATACCAGACACTTTCCTGCTCATGAAAGAGAAAGCCTTGTCAAACAGCTAGAAGATTTTAGAGTACAGGTACTTTTTATTTTGTTATAATTTGTGCTTTAAAGTAAGATTTATTGATGAATTTATGATGGACCATACATATTTTCATTGATTGTATCATTAGATTAGTTGGTTTGCATTGACCTTCATAATCAACTTTTACCAGGTAGTTGCATAGACATTGACTTGTATAATTCCAGTACACACAACTTGAACGGGACCTGCAGCAGGTACTTGATGAGAAACAAGAGCAGGAAACAGAAAGAGATGCATATAAAACCAAGTATGAGAGACTGAACCAGGAGTTAAACTACATACTGAAGGGCGACGAAAGAAGAGTGGTCGATCTGGATGCACTCATAATGGAGAACAAGTATACAATCACCTTTTTTGTTTTAAAAACAAATTAATATTTTGTTAGATTACTTGGATTTTAGCTTGATTAGCAATAACAGAAACAGAAATACCATGTTACTTACAGACCAGTATTTTTTTGTAGGTATCTCCAAGAAAGACTGAAACAGATGGAAGAGGAAAAATCCATTGCCATGGCAACTGTTTCTAAGTATAAGGTCTATAAATTGAAAAGCTTTGTAATGCGTATTGAGTTGAATAAAAAGAGACTATTTAACCTCATAAATTTTATAAATCCTTACTGCAGACACTTTTGGAGAGAAGAAAAATGAAAAGTGCCATGAAATTAGGTCAAAGTCGCAGTGGGGGTCTTATCATTTCTCAGAAACAAGGTGTGTTTAATTGCTTTACTTTCATTTACATAACCTCACAACACTTACATGTATATTTAAGATGAAGACAAAAAATTCAAAGATTGTTTGCTTGTTTTCAGTACAACAGTTTTTAGAAGATAAGGGTGAGTGTTCGGTGACCCCTCAGACTGTGGCCGATATCAAAGCTTTAGCAGGTGCCCTGCTGGACACAGTCAACGACAAAAACTTGGCTCTGTCTCATCAAAGAAAAACAAATAAGTATGTACATTTATTACAATGAAGGCCAACAGCAGATAAATTGTATGCATTAACATACATAACAACTCGCTTCAATGAGCTTTAGTGTGATTTATCTTGGCACAATTACTAGTTGCCGTAAGTTTTAACATACATTCAAGTATGATATATGCCCATTCCATTTTCCTTCTTTCTTTTTGTCATCAGAATTTTAGGAAACCGGATCTCTGAACTAGAGAAGAAAATAAAAACATTAGAGGTAGCGGGACTTTGGAATATTTCACGTAAGTTTACATAGCTTTTTAAGTGAAGCTGTTCTTGAAAAAGTACACTGAATTTTATGTCATAAAGCAATTTCACTGAGCAAGTGTTGGTAATACTTCATTAATATCCAAATTTTCAAATGAATTTTTTGTAAACAGCTGCCACAAATTTGGGAAAACTGAAAGAAGAATGTGAGGAGGTCAGGACATTGATTCCTCAGCTGTCGCAGTCCAGTGAGGATGGAGAAGGTTCATGCATGAATTACCCAAGTACACCAGGATCCAGTGGAAGTTCATTAAACAGCAGTCCCCAGCATTCTGTCAGTGCCCCCCAGAATGGCAGTCCCACTCACAGAACAGATGACTCAGATAAATCTAGTCCTGCTTTCAGTGGAAGCTCATTAAGCAGTCCTCAGCATTCCAATACTGACAGCCCTACAGATAAAATGGATGAATCTGATAAATCTAGTCCTTTAGACTCATTCTGTGACAGTGGTGATAAAACTAGTCCCCGTGAGGGAAGTTCAGAGCTATCTTGCTGTGATACAAGCCCCATGCTGCAAAGCCTGGAGTCTTTTACCAGTATTAATTCTCATCAGGAGACTATTGATGTCATAGCTGGTGAGATGTCTTCACCATCCTCACCAGAAAATAGTCCCAGATACATTTCAACCCAATCTTCAAATAGTACGAGTTATTATAACACTGTGGAATCACCTAATCACAATGCTAGAGCCAACTTGGAGATGCTTGGTACAGATGATTTGGATTTAATCCCGGAAAAAGAGACTTCTGCAACAAGTCATAAAAGAAATCTAGGTCAGTATATAATAAGACCAGAGAAATTTTCAGAGAAATTAATTATTTCAAAGATTTTTAGACATTTTAAAAACTCATTGTATGTTTAGTACATGTTTACCATATTTTGTTCCTAGTAGAGTATTCTTAAAACAGAGACTCTGAAATATTTATACTTACATGTTTTGAAGTTGTTCATTGTTTGAGAGGTAACTGAAAAAAATTATATTTTCTTTTTTGGTGGGCCAATTTTGAAAATTAGTTCCATATTCATTAGATTTGCATATCTCAGACTTTATTTACAGATAAAGATCTGCTAGAGAGCGAAGAAAATGAAGAGCTGTTAACCGCTTCATCAAATGAAGGGGGACAACTCTGCTTGGAAATGAATGATACAGAAGAGCAAATCAACCAACTAATGGATGTAATGACAAACAAAATGGTCAGCGTTAATCAGAGGTCAACAGTCAAGGACATTGGTCAGTCAGATTCATTTAATAGATCAGACTCAAATTATGAGGATGCTAAAGAATCCTTCGATAAACCATTGCTAAGTAAAACCGAAACACCAAGAGAAGACCTAAATGTTGAGTGCTAGATTTAAAGGCCAATTAATTTTTTCCTTCTTTTAATCATAATACATTAAGGAAAAGCCAGTATCTGTATTGATATGTAAATTGAACTGATTAAGTATCAAAGTAATCCTCAGTAGTTTTATGAACTTTTTTCTTTTTTTTGCTTCACGACTGCCAAAGCATTGTATGGTTTTGATCTTGTCCTTTCAGTTCTTGCATCTACATATTGTAAATCTAAACTAATCTTATAGTGCAGAGAGAAATTTTGTCATTTGTGGTCCAGTATTTTTTAGCAACCTCCACTTATTGCTGCTAATCCTTTGCGAGGTGCAATTTTTTCTTAATTAAATTTCCTTAAAATACATGTACATGCACCAGTAGATACATGTATAACTTTTGACCAGTGGAACTTAAATTAGTGCAGTTTTGATTTAGGCTCTTTATTTCTAATGAAGAAAATTTATAATATAATTGAATAAATGAACATTTTTAAATATTTTTAACATTTTTTATATATAATACGAGGGCTGTTCAATAAATTATGTCCTCTGTCCCCGGAAAGAAATAAAAGACGCTTTTCAATGATTTTGTCTAAATGATTTCCCTTGAATATGCTCCTTTAATTGAAACACATGTCTCTAATATATTTATCCAATTCCTAATTGTTTTTAGAACACATTTTTGAGTATGCCCTTCGTATACTGGAATATGACAGATCCTATGATTTTCTGGACTTGTTTCTTCTTTTTGAAAGGTGTTTTTTTTTAAGTTTGGAAAATGAAACAAGTCGTAGGGTAAAAGATCTGGCGAATTTTGTTGGTGTGACAAAACATTAACTTTCTGTTTATCCCCAAAACTCTTTTACTGTTCAGGACGTGTGGATTTGGACGCTGTCATGAAGAAAATTAATGTAGTAGATTCCAGATTCTGGTTCCTTCTTCTCATAAACCTTTGGATTTTTTTTGCAAAAATTTTGCTTTCTTGACTCGTCCAGAAATTAAACGGCCTCCCCAAATAAGAATCTGAACACCAAGGCCACTACTATTGAAGAAAATGGCATATAAAACTTTCTTTGTGCTCTTGCAATTCTTTGCTCTTCTCAGACCCTTGCTGTTTTGGTCATGTGCATCTTGTTGTAAATTTTCCTTTGGGGTTCAAAATAATGGATTCAGGTTTCATTATATCTGTTAGAATTTCAGACAAACTTGGATAACTACAATTTCTGATTTAAAAAAAAATTATTTCGATATTGTTACATGCTTTCGTTTTCACTCATTTGTCAAAACATAGGGTGACCATTGAGTACAAAGCTTTTTTACTGTCAATTGTTTCTTTAAAACAGTGTGAACTACCCCCAAAATTATGCCTACCAAATTTGCTATGCATCTTAAAGTCAATTTAAACATCATCAATGATTATTTGTTGAATATTGGCAAACATTACATTGGTTTTGTAAGTCCTTGTCACCAAGGACGGTACCCATTTTGTATGCCCATTTTATCATTTTTGATCATTGAAATCCACCTGCTCAAGTGTCTATAAAACAAACATTGGTTGCTGTAAACATTACATATTCAGTTAATACATGTATTATTTTTGCATTCTTAACAAGTTTTACAGAAGTTTTACATGAAGCCCATAATTTCAATCTTGTTAACCGATTCTTTACCGTTCATTTTTAATGCAGTGTCTCGAATAACCTTTGTTTTCCAGCTTCTCACAATGAAACTATATGATAAAACGTGGTCACATAAATGGTTATCAATTTATTAAAGATTCAATCATGAGAGAAAGCCAAGGTTAATGTACTAAAATATTTTCTATGTTGAACATTATAGAGTTCAGGACATAATTTATTGAACAGCCCTTGTATTAAAAAAAGAGACAATCAGACAAATGACTAAATGTATGGACAGCTGAATATACAGGTATATGTATATACATGTACTTAATAAACATGTATAAGAATTTATTTAGCACATAAAATATCAAACATACTTAATGCCATTATATCTAATTCAAATTTATTATACATGTACATGTGTTTGGTTGTGAAAAAACACCCTTTGATCTCCATTTCACTTGTTCTCATTTACCGGTATTCTGTTTTGCAGAAGTGTTTAATGTTGTTACACAACTTTTTATTCTTGTTACATATATGTTCCCAAAATGTAGTTTGGAAATATACTGTATATTATTTTATCGTCTCCTGTTGTTGTTGTTGTTGGTGGGTTTTTTTTTTTAGCTCACCTGAGCTGAAAACTCGAGCAAGCTTTTCTCGTCACATTTTGTCTGTTGTCTATCTGTCTGTCTGTCTCTCCATCTGTAAACTTTTCACATTTTTGACTTCTTCTCCAAAACCAATCAGCCAATTTCAACCAAACTTGCCACAAAGGATCCTTGGGTGAATTGGATTCAAGTTAGTTCAAATGTAGAGCCACGTCCTCTTTTAAGGGGAGATATTTAAGAATTAAAGAAAATTTGGTGGCATCTTTTAAAAATCTTCTTCTCAAAAACCATTTGGCCAAAGAAGTTGAAACTTACATGAAACCTTCATTACATAGTGTACATGTAGATTCAAGTTTGTTCAAATCATGACCCCCAGGGGTAGGGTGGGGCCACAATGGGAGATCAAAGTTTTACATAGGAATATATAGGAAAAATTCTTTTAAAATCTTCTAAAGAAAAGCAAAGCCATGATTAATCATATTGATATGGAAGCATTCTCAGGTAGTATAGATTCAAGTTTGTTCAAATCATGACCCCCAGGGGTAAGGTGGGGCCTCAATGGGGGATCAAAATTTTACATAGGAATATATAAGGAAAAAATCTGCTGATGAAGAAGAACACGGCCATATTGACTCAGGGGAGCATTGTGACCCACGGGCCTTTTGGTTTTTTTTATTTACCTCAAATGTTCTTAGAAACTGAGATGAAATTTTTGAAGAAGAATACAAGCATGGTGTGTCATTGTGCGAACAAATGTAATTGTGCTGGCACCTGCATGTAAAAGACAAAAACTTTTAATAATTCAAATACCGACAATTTTCATACTTTTTAATGAAAAGTTGTGAAATGTAGAATATACAGGTATATGCAGACATGTACATGAAGTGTTTAAATAAGATGATTTTCTTGAGCTAGTGCTACATGAAGCATGAAAGCATAATCAATTTTTCATGGTTCTAATTGGCTGACAAAAATCCTTATAAATTTCAAGCTTTTTTGACAAAATACTTTGAAATTTGAAATATTATTGGAGGTAAATATTGCTAAAGACTGCAAGGAGAAGTTTATGAAAAGCTTTAAAAACACACATGCATTGAACGGAAATCTGATTGAGGTTTTAAATGGCTGAATTTTTTTTTTATTTTTCAGTCCAAGATTCAAAAAGTAGACCTTTTGTTATAATAGTGTCCATATACTATGAAACTAAAGTGATAATTCAAGGGCATACATGCATTTTTGCCAAATTCTGATTGACTAGTACTCAAATGATCTTTTTTTCTCATTTTTCATTGAAATGTTTTTACACATAAAATGCAAAGCACGCTTTTATTTAAATATATACTGGTAAGTTTTGAGTACCAGAGGTAGAATCACTAAATGCAATTTTTAAATGGGATGAAATGGGATGAGATATGTGTTTTCACAACATATTTAAAATTGATGAAATATTCCCATTTTGCCACGTTTACTTATTAATTTTATTTGTTGATTTGATTTCTGGAGGGTTATTTTTATTGTTTTGTTTTTATATTTATAGTCATCTTAATTGTCAATGGTGGACACGGCATTACTTATTAAGTAACAACACATTCTTTTTGTAGATAGGTCACAAGTGTTTACATTGTAAGATGTTATTGTTATTACATGTACATTTATAGTTACTTTTACAGATTTAATTGTTTAAAAATAATGATAGATCTGATTCTACATTTAAATATTGTTGTAATTGAGGAGACAGCAGTTGTTATTGTGCACTTCCTTGTTAGGTCTTTCCACCTTTCTGTGGAAAGACCTATTGAAATTGTTCTGTTTATTATTATTATTATTATTTTTATTATTTTTCCGCCGAATGGTTTTTTGTTTCAAAAGTTATCAAAAAGATTTATGGTCCATAAGAATGCACTTCGTAAAAGATTTTTATAGTTGACCCTGCGTATATGAACTTTGACCCCTCAAGGAGTTACAACCCCTTTCGCAATAAAAGCTTGTTATCGCTACTCCTTCGAAACCTTACACCGTAGAGATACGAAACCTTCACTAATGTCTTTGACTAATTTAGTAGACTACTCAATCTATTCAGTGCGAAAGGTTGCAAAAACCCCTTTAATTAGTTATTGCCCCTGAAAGTTTTTGATGGTTACGAATAATTATTTTTTTTTTAAACGATTAATTGTAGAGACATGGGACCAATGGCATTGGCATGTGTGACCTTTGACCTTGAAATTTATATAGAGGTCAAAGGTCAAGGTCATTCAAAATATGAGAAAATTAGCTGTTTTAATATCTCTTTTGTCTTTCAACATATACTGAATATCTTTGCATCTATAATATGTCCTTCTAAAACTATTTCAAAGATTTCATTCTTGTCCCCCGAGCTTGACCCATTCAAAAGTTGTCACCCCTTTTGCAACAAAACCTTGTTATCGCTACTCCTCCGAAACCGTAAACCGCAGAGATTCCAAACCTTCATCAGTGTCTTCGACTCATTTAGTACTCTCTTCGTTCTATCATTGCGAAAGCATTCTTTGGTCTCTTGTATGAGTTACTGCCCCTGAAAGTTTACGCTACTTACATTTAATGAACTTATTTTTAAAACGGTGTATCCTAGAGACATGGGACCAACTGCATCGGCATATTTGATCTTTGACCTTGAAATATAGGTCAAGGTCAAAGGTCAAGGTCATTTAAAAACATAAGAAATCCCTTATATATGTGTTAAAATATAGCAATTCACCAAATGACCTTGAACTTTGACCTTGACTTTGGGTCAAATGGAAAAGTAAGAACATACATTCAGCTCCAGTATCAGGTAAAAACTTAGAAAGTAAAGATTTTTTTTTTTTTTTTTTTGTAATGACCTTTGACCTTGACCTTTGACCTTGACCCAAAGGTTACAATAAGGCTTAAGGATGTGGAAGTAGTTACAATTCTTAGTTTGAAAGAGGCATAAAATAAATAATTCACCCCCCCCCCCCCCACCTTCTTAAAAAAAAAAATCACATCTACAACAACGTAGAATATTACTCTAGAATTCAAACCAGACCTCGCATCGACACCATATTTGGTACAAATGTAGTATAGACCTTAAAAAAACTTTCTGGAGAGTTTTACGGTGAGTCTTATAAGTTTATAGAAGTCCTGAAGTTTCACGGCAAAAACTACAAGTTCTGTTGTGTTTGAAATTTAAGTGCAGGTGAACGAAGAAATGATCTAAACCTTTTATGGGCTATTTCTTCAGATGTCGTTAGTAGCATTCAATTCTCCTGATATGATACGACATTTTAATACCAAGCATTCTCTCTTTCTTTTACATTTGGAATTTATTTGATTTTTATTTAGAATTAATCAGTTTCCAGAAATAGCGATTTTCGGTATATTAAAAACAATTCTCGCTTTCATTGTCATGTTTCCCTTCTAAAAATGCATGTTGGGAGTTTAATTTGGGCTACACATATTTAATTAAACCCTAAGAAATGCTTATTTAAATGTTTCATATTTATTTCAGGATATTCAGTCAGAAATGTTCAAATCCGAACCCGATCTTTTAAGCTTACAACGAAGCTATTTACAAAAAATTCAGCATGCTCACAATATCGATGAATCGGGCTTACAGTCCATTAATACATTTTCATTAGGGAACAGTGTTAACGTTTTCTCACGCAGCCCGTCCCTTGTTATTTTATATACTGCTTGCAAGTTCAGGAACTATTTCCTTTTACGGAACTTCTTTCTTCCCTACCGATTCTAAAAATACGCTTGCATTTCTTCTATAGTCTTAAACAATTAACTTATGAATGTTATCGGAGTGCGTGGCCGAATGGTTAGCGCACCTGCCTTTTTCAATCCAAGGGTTTTGAGTTCGAGCCCAGCTGGAGGAGCATTTTTTTTTTTTTTTTTTTTTTTTTTTTTTTTTTTTCATTTTTTTCATTTTTCTTCATTTTTTTCAGCCCAAATGACACGGAAACACTTAAAAAGGTGGAAAGACCTCTAATTGTTCTGTGAACAATTAGTTTACTAGTTTTTATGTGTTTTCTTTATCAGGGTTTTCAAAAGCAAGTTTTTGAGTGTTTTGGAACACAGAGTACCATATTTACATTTATCTATACTAGTTACACTCGCACTGTACATGTATTTGTTGTGATCCAAAACTTCAAGAAATGTTGCACATACATGTACTATAATAGAGATTATTGTATATATGTTATGTAACTTTATTTCATTATTGCTATATGCATAGGGGTTGTTTTTACTGTATGTTAAGTTTGTTAATTAGTACATTAACATCAAAATGTTTGTGTATTAAAATTTGTTGATATGCATACACCCTTGAATATTTTATCTTTTACATTTTCATGAAGAAAAAATTCAGAATCCAATCTAAAAGTGAACCAAGATTTCTTTTGTTGATGAAACAAGACACCTCCCTCCTCCCAGCCCTGATCAATACTGTGTAATCTGCACTTTTGATATTTTGCTTTGAGTCAAAGTCATGACACTTATTTGAGTCATCATCAAAATACTCTGGTGTAAATTAATTTAAATCACTTGTTCCAAAAGTATGATCTGGACGCAGTTAACATTGATATTGGATGACAACCAAGCCACACATGTAGGTAATCTGCTACCAAACGGCTCTAGATACATGTATGTGAACTTAATATAATTTCACTTTGTCCACTGACCTTGACTTTGAGATATGACCTTGATTCAATATTTTGACATACCTTAAGGTAGGAAAGACATACATGTATGTTTGTACTTGATATCAAAACTCAATATACAATATACTACCTGTTAAACTGTGGTACCTGTGAACAACAGAAAGATAACATGTGTTTTTTTTTTTTTTTTTTTTTTTTTTTTATTAAAATCTGAAGTTAAATATCCAATGGCACATTCTTGTTAAAATGTCATGTATGTTTCTTGTTATTAAAGGTTTAAACCAAGTATAAATATAAACATCATACACAGGTCATATTTCAAAATGGGCAGAGGTACATCTGCAACTGGTGTGGGTCTGTAATATACATGACTGTATATAATTCATTGCAAATAAAACGTAATTCAATATTAATCGAAGAAAACCACAGCAACCACTACTTTTTTCTATCAATACAAATAATGACGAGATCAGTGTGAAACAAGATGTGTTTGTGAAACACTATGCACCCGGCAGCAACAAAGTTCGAAAAAGCTATTTTTAGCATATAGGTCACAGTCAAGGTCACAAGGTCATTGACCTTAGTGTCATTTGAAAGAGCTTAATTAGTGGAGTATGCATACCAAATATGAAGTCTCTATCTCTCATGGTTCAAAAGTTATGGCGAAGGTTAAAGTTGACAACAGACAGACAGGACAAAAACAATATGCGCCCCCGATCTATCGATCCGGGCGCATAAAAATTGCACTTGGAATCCTTATACTGACAATATACCAGTTAATTCTCAACATGAATGACAAATTTATTACAGGAAAGAAAGCAATGATACTAAATCACCAGATTTGAAGTTGATGTACATGTGTATAATTATCTACATTGGTGTTTGGTGTACACAAATTGCTTAGAATCACACATTGAATTAAAAACTGAAGTCAAAAAATCTCATCCTCTTAAAGAAAACAAAAAAACAAGCACCAACTACGACGACTAGAGACACACAAAACCACCACCTGGATTTACTATGTGTATGCTAAAGCAAAAAAAAAAAGAAAAGAAAGAAAAAGCTTATAATAATATTTTTTTTAGTGTCTTGAACCTTAATTTAATCACAATTAGTATACCAGCTACTGGCTTAATGTTTAATTCCAGTAGACAAAGTGCACATATCATACATGTACATTGTATCTATTAATTCTACCATTTTTTGGTGTAGGTTTGTTCACCACAAAAAAAGAAGCTGTCCTAGCCATTTTATTTTGTTCATTACAAAGAAATGGTGCACATGTATTTTGTTTCGGAAATTCTTACTCATCAAGCAACAACAAAAAAATTCTATGCATATAAACAATTTTTGAGTTGCACACAATTCATTCAAGTGTCAATTTTTTATTTGACTTGCCTTTGATATCTACATATACATGTACATGTATTTGATGCTATAAATTTTTCACCATATATGAAGTCTCAATCTTATAAATATGCTGTTCAAAAATCTATGATCGATATGGATCGACAGGTGAATAAGCAAATAGACATAACAAATGCAAGTCCTCACCCCCTTGAATTTGTAAACATATACTTTACTTAACCATGTGTAACCAAACATATACTGTAGTTCATCAAATTTTTGTGACACTTTATTTTCGCTCGGGAGTTAGTGGAATAAGCAGGAAAATTTTTCACAAATGGCCTAACAATAATTTTTACATATTTTGATTATTGTTGTATATCCTTAAAAATACACATATACGTGTGAAGAAACTTTTGTGAACTGATGGTCTCACATAATAATTTTACATAATACACTGTAATCCATATCATTAGACAAAAATAAATTTCTCAGGTAAAACAAAACAAAAGTAATTTATAGTACATATGTATATGTAACCAAATGTCACTCCTCGTAAAGCATTTATTAATTTTTATCAATTAATACACTGTTATTGAAATTTAAGTTGTGTGTCTCAAATGCCATCTTAATTTAAGCAAATGCATTTGAAAAGAATATACTTAATAATGCTGAAAACAAAATCAAACACATATATCATTTGACAAGTGTACATGAGAAAAAAAAAAAAACAATCCAAAATATTGGAAAATAAATAAAAAAGGCAAAATAATGCTGAAAGACCATCATTATACACAACCACATCACAAGTATTACTGTTAAACAGACTTCTATCAACTTATATATATCATGTAATTTTATATACATGTATAATAGCTAAATGTAGTTGTATAAATAATGAATAACTAAAAGATACATGTGCACATGTATCCATACAAGTAAATGATGCAATTCTATTGCTTGAGATGTACATGCATGATTATAGGAATGCAAAGGTAAGATGATCAATAGGTAATCTTAGAAACAGAAAATAATAATGTCACTCAGGCACAGCTTTGACAAGAATTTCACTGACAACAGGCAAAAGTAAATAATGTGAACATTGTTCAATTAAGAATCTTATTTCAACATTGTCTCTGCTATCTGCTTTCAACTACTGGAGATTTATTTCTAAACTTAAATATAGAGGATCTTTTCTTCTTTTTTGTGGTTTTGTCCCCCTGACTTGAGCATGAGTTATCCAAGGGAAGACCTTCCGACTGAGCAAGAGTTCCATCCTCTAATGCAGCACTTTTCACTGAAGGTTTCTCCTCCTTATCTCTATGAAAATTTTTATCACTTTTAAAATTAAAACATGCAGTATGTAAAATTTCAACTCAGAAAATCAAGTATTTTTAAGATAACTACATTTACCGGTAATTTGACCCCAAGCTGCCATTAAAATAATTCACAGATATGTTGGACCACAATTTGAAATTCATTGTCCCATGTATACTTGCCTAGTAGAGTTCTCAGAGACATTTTTTGCATCCACTGCAGTGGAGTTAGTGGGAAGCTGTGATTGGTCAGCCTCTGTACAGGTCATTAGGTCACACTCAGCCAATGATGTGGAAGATACAGGAGACTCTGAGGATGATTTAGCCTCATTGTTTTTTCTGCAAAGAGAAGACAATGATTTCTGAAAATTACTTTCAATTCTTGAACACAGCCTTGTACATGTATAATTAAACAAACACTTACACCTGGGCATGGACTTAATTTGTTTAACACTATCATATCAGACCTGAGGGCTGTCGTAAGCATCTCTACTTGTCTTTTGTACAGTGCGAGTTCATCATGCAGAAGATCAATCTCAGAATTCTTCTCTGCTAACTCTTTTTTCAGCTTATAAACGGAGTCTTCCAAAGATTCACAGAGAGACTGCAAATTCAATTTTTTAATTGTAATACATGCAAGCATCTTCTGATCTACAGCAAAATTTCAAAATGAGACATGTTTAAAAATTATCAACTTGTTTGCAAGAGGGGATATCTCTTTCCTTTTGATTTTTTTTAAAATCAAATATTGGAAAGAACTCTTGACCAAGATTAACATTCTATCATGCTGAGGTCAAATGTGTATTAATTTTTAGATCAAATTGGTTCACTTTTTAGCTATGAAAAATTGAATTCTTTAGATTTATGGAGAAAATAGACAAATCTTCAAACAATCATTTCATCAAGTATGATTTGGCTAATTTACAGGATGTTTAAAAGCAGATTATTAATGTAACCATCTTTTCTCTCCTTAATACATAAAGAAGTATTTAATAAAGATTGCATGTGTATAATTTTTCATTCAATTTTGTAACTGACAGATGGAAAGTAACAAAATGCATTGATACTACGTATGAGTGTTGATGCCCCATAATTATAACTATACATAATCTGTTAAAAATGTACATATACATCACATATGCCATGTACTCCTATTACATGTATGCACATTACACACAGGTTCATGTACTTAGTATTTCTATCAGTCTATGTGTAGGTGACTACATGTACTTCTATTACACATACTTGTAAAAATGTACTTGAGTAAAATGGAAGCTGCTTTTACTAGTGTGTATATCAAATGTTATATAACGTTACCCTGCTCTCTTCAATGCTATCATGTGGCCCTGGGGGGTCATCGAAACAGAAGAATTCTCGCACTGGCTTACTGCAAAGCAGAAAGATATAATCTTTACTGAATGTGTGAAGAACACATACATCAAATACCAGGTATTAAAGTAAGAAAATTCTCACCTGATAAAGAAGGTAAAACTGTCAAGTGTTTGAATGTATGTTGTGTAGAAGGTGTTTAATTTAGTTAATTTCACACAATGGAGAAAAAAATAATGAAGTTTGTCCATGCATAAAATGTCAAAACCTCTAATCATGTTAAATGGAACCAATTCAAGAATCTCAATTGTGTCACTATTTTACTTTATTTAGAGTACATTGAAAACCATAAATAGATGTAAATATCAAATGCACTTTCACACTTTTGTACTTTTTTTTATATTCACAACAAATTCTTCTATATGTAACTGTCAATTCAACCTACCTATTACAAATATCCTTATGTCCAATACAGTTATCAATGAAGGCTTGTAAACCTAGCTGCCTGTCCTCAATGAAATTCTTGTCAAAGTTGTCCCTGAACCATCTTTTTGGTGGCAAAGATAATCGGATGTTTGGAAAACACTTCCTCAACTATGAAACATATTCACAGTTATTTTAAGCCAATCTGTCTGATTTAATACTGCAACATGGATATGATGCGAAATACATTACATGTATCTGAAGACTTTGATGTTTTCTTGCTATTTTTTGAATACATTAGACAAAATAGAGTTGAAGAAATCTTGAAAAAAATCTTACCCTATCATTCAGCTGTACAAAATCTGTATAACGTCTAAATATATGCCAGACATCATGTTCTGATTTCTGGACTCGCAAACTAAAAACCTAAAGAAAAACAATAGTCCTCTTCATTAATACTGACTCTACTTTTTTATCGTCAGCTTTGGCATATCATAAAATTTCTTGTGTATGATATCCTATTTTCAACTAGAATGTCACATGAAAAATATTAATTTATTATTTTCTGGATCTTAAATATACACAACTTAAATTATTTCTCTAAATAAGTCTACACATACAAATACTGTGTGCAGGTAAACAGAATGTACAATTTCAATAGATATCCAAACTTTTATATATGATTGAATACACTCGATTGTACTTACAGTGAATTTGGATCTTTCCTCCATAGTTTCATGGCCAAGAATGGGAACTTTTATATTCTCAGGATTCAGTGTCTCTGATGAGCAAGTGAGACTGTCCTCTAAATCTGTCTGGAACCTGACACTGCTTTTCTGTGGACTAGACCTATCATTCTTTCTCTTAGAAGCAAGCTGTGAGGCTGAAGAAATGGAATCAAGGTCCGAATCTAACCGGTCAATGGTACTGATTGATATGCTTGACGTTCGGCTGTGCATGGTATTAAAATAAAGTTACTGGGTTAAAAACTCTAAAGATTATTTAGAACTAAACTTACCGTATTGAAAATCATTTAAGAATTAAAAATGAAAAATATGAATAATGATGTTTATAGTAATATATGTAGAACAATACTGTTACTAATCTTGCCCTAGCCCCAAAAATTTACTAGTTAACCCCCCCCCCCAGTTTTCCCCCTTTTTTTACTTGTAAATATATATTTGATTTTAATTATTTTATTTATTTCTTACAGAGAGTAACTGATACTTGTTTGGCAAGCACTTCCTGTTTCAATGTGCAGCCCATGCATAGTGAATTACCTTGGTGTCTCTGTGAGACCACTATCATCATTGTCATGTAAGCTCTTGAACTTGTCATCTACCCTGTTAATCTCATTTTCATGGAAACTTAACCTTTCGACCTCTGCTGGGTCACAGTTTCCAGGGATAATGCAGTTCTGCACTCTCTCCCTTATTTCATCTTCCTCCATTGTGCCATTTTTTTTCACATCAGGAGAATAGGACACCTTCCCATAATTCCTAGAATCAGAAATGAATTTGCTCGAATATTCTTTTTTAAAATGTATTTCATAGTGATTGGATAAATAGTAATTAAGTCTTTATACTGATGTATACATCTATGATTATAGCAATTCCTATTATGTACAGCAGTTTATTTTAATTCAAAACTTTATAATTGATCTCTACTTGTAAATTTGCAAAACTGAGACCGATCTATTTTCAAAAAAAAAAAAAATTCAATGTACATGTATTTCAGGCATATTAATAACATAATTTAATCAGACTTTAGTAAATAAAGCACACATTTACTTCACACCTGCAGATTAGGTAAACATCTAATCTTATCAATCAACTGTAATAAGTAATTTGCATGCAATATTTTTTTTAATAAAATACCTTAATATTTGTAAACACCATACAACATTAACTGTTAAAAAATAAGACACAGTTCTATAAGCAGATTATTGCCTTTTCTAAACAGTGCAACAGGAAATGATGTAAGACAAATATTGAGGAAGTTTACCTTCACTTTTAATTATGAGATAAGAAAATGCTCAGTAAAACATTTTTTTTAATATTTCACAGTTGTATTTATTCAATTTTCATGAATTTTTTAGTAAATATTATGAAAAACAATGCAATATTAATAAAAATTTCCCCTGCAACACTGAGTGCTGGCAAGTATTAAAAAAAACATTCCAAGAGAAGAGTCAGAACAGATTTACTTGACTATATAATCCATATATATGCATCCTACAGTCTATGGTGTAAGACTGGTGATAAGTAAAATGTCTAGCAGATAATAAGTTACTTTCCCATTCCATTATTGACATCAATAAATGGGCATAATTATTTACTGAAGCTTTGTTAATAATAGGTTATTGATGGAATATCAGGAAATACTAGTATATGCCTGCCCAAGCTAGGTTTTTGTGTCACTGTGGTAAAGAGAATCGAGCTACGTTTGTGGGTCGATATGGCTCTGTATAATATTCCTGTGTACTTTCTATACTTTCTATTGAGAAAAATAAGTCATAATAGTGTGGCAATGGCCTGTCCCAAGATTTATAGTATTACTATATACATGTATACCGGCCTTGCTGATATTAGCAATTATTAAATTACCAGTAACTTTCCAAAATAATTACATGTCAAAAGAATGTCTAACGCCAATAGGCCAAGTAAATTTAGTAGAATTGTTACATGAATTCAAATATGTACCAAAAAAAATGCCTAATGTATGTTAACCTCTATAATAAATATTTATGCAGTCACAATGATCTAGAATATTCATAGATACAAATATAGTTATAGATGTCAATGAACTATTCGTAGATCATTGACCAGAAATGACAGAATATCAATTGCGTTATGTTATGTTCTACACCAGCTCTCAGTAAATTTAATCTTTTGCAATATTACATCTATACTTTCAGTTGCTTTATTTTTCTGTTTAGCCTATTTCCGTCTTTCGAGATTTTCAATTAACAAGTATCACTCTAAAACTGTATGCAGAATAAGAAATTCTAAATCTAGGATACATGCAAAGCATGATCTGAGCAATAAAATACGCACCTTTCAGTTTCAGTTTCGTTCAACCACCTGTTTCATGCACTACAGACTACCACAGGTGACAGAGCACATGATGTTTGGTAAACACACCAGCGCCACTCTGCGGGCAAAATAGGTATAATTAAGATATTATTAATTCATTCACGTTTATGTCGTCTTTTTTTTTTTTTTTTTTTTTTTTTTTTTTTTTTTTTGGCGCACCCATAGGAAGCAATTACAGTAGGAGGGGGAACTAACAGAAACTCTTAATAATACAAAAAGAAAAAGGATCATCAGATGTCTTTCGAGAGCGCACAATCTGGATTTCTCAAAGGCATTTGATAAGGTGCCTCACCAGAAGTTGCTGAGGAAGTTGGATAATTATGGGATTCGTACGGAAGCGTATTAGGGCCGCAGCAGTATCTTTTATTAATTTGTTTTAACAAATTACTAATTTGTTATAACAGATTACTAATTTGTTATAACAGATTACTAATTTGTTATAACAAATTATCAATTTGTTAAAACAAATTACTAATTTGTTAAAACAAATTACTAATTTGTTATAACAGATTACTAATTTGTTATAACAGATTACTAATTTGTTATAACAAATTACTAATTTGTTATAACAAATTATCAATTTGTTAAAACAAATTACTAATTTGTTAAAACAAATTACTAATTTGTTATAACAGATTACTAATTTGTTATAACAAATTACTAATTTGTTATAACAAATTATCAATTTGTTATAACAAATTACTAATTTGTTAAAACAAATTACTAAATTGTTATAACAAATTATCAATTTGTTATAACAAATTATTAATTTGTTATAACAGATTACTAATTTGTTATAACAAATTATTAATTTGTTATAACAGATTACTAATTTGTTATAACAGATTACTAATTTGTTATAACAAATTATCAATTTGTTAAAACAGATTACTAATTTGTTATAACAGATTACTAATTTGTTATAACAGATTACTAATTTGTTATAACAGATTACTAATTTGATATAACAAATTATCAATTTGATATAACAAATTAATAATTTGTTATAACAAATTGGTAATTTGTTATAACAAATTAATAATTTTGATAAAGTGAAAGTGTATACAGATCTATGGAAGCCAGATGAGATCAGAAATCTTTTTATAAGTTGGATTTGTGAAAATAGTAAATGTGCAAGCTCTGCAGCTACAGCTTTTGACCAATATGTTAATCTGGATTTACATCTTTTAGCATTTAGAGTTTTCACTGTCAAACATTATTGTTATAAAGATACAATGCATTAAATTCTTTGGTTACTTATTCTTAGGAGCTCTATTTGAATTTTGTCCTCCTCCCCCACCAGGGCTCCGTCCTTGACTCCCATTTACCAGGTCATTGCATCCCCGTTCGTATGCTAGGAAAAAATATCTTATCAAAGACATGTTATTTGGAGAGGGAATTTTTCCCACCCTGAATCAACATGTTCATTATAATATTTTTTTTTCAATATGTCTTTTATTTTATTTCATTTTACCCCCCCCCCTCCCTCTCTCTCTCGGTTCATTCTATACATGTACCAAATGATTTATGCCTACTGTTCAATCCAGTTTATGTATCATGAATAAAATATATTTTAAACTAAACCGCCGTTCCTAATGCAAAAACCTGAATCTGCTCCTCTGGTTATCCTCCTTGGCCCCAATTTATGCTGGGGGCAATAAAGGCAACATTGATAAAAAATGAATTTGTAGATAAATTATCATAGAAAAATTGATAAACACTCTGTAATAACCTTTTCTGAAAACGAAAATAAACAATATTCTTGAGTGGGTAGTACTTCGTAAAATTTGAATTTAGATACCTTGTGAAATTTTTTCATGTATGTATGTATTTTTATAATCAAAATACGTGCCTTTTGGAAAAGCCCTCAAAGTCCCACTAAAGCCTTCATAACTTATTATTGGCTGAAAACTTTGACAGTTGTTTCTTCAAATTCATTTGTAATTTGTATCCTGGTTGTCTCATATAGGACTACTCATATATTTTACAAGAAATCGTTAAGCAATATAATTTGTTATAACAATACACACAAAATATTACACATGTGTAAAGAAGGAAAAAATAGGTCTTCTCCCATTTTGACCCCTGTGTTGACATTGAAAAAAGTGTTGATTTGAATGGACGACGTTGAAATCATATTTAATTGTCCGGAACTTCGAATTTTTCTCGAAGGATCCAACATTCTGTATTTCTTCTACATAATCCCTGGATCCAGAGGAGCAGATTCAGGTTTTTGCATTAGGAACGGCGGTTTAGTTTAAAATATATTTTATTCATGATACATAAACTGGATTGAACAGTAGGCATAAATCATTTGGTACATGTATAGAATGAATCGAGAGAGAGAGGGAGGGGGGGGGGGTAAAATGAAATAAAATAAAAGACATATTGAAAAAAAAAATATTATAATGAACATGTTGATTCAGGGTGGGAAAAATTCCCTCTCCAAATAACATGTCTTTGATAAGATATTTTTTCCTAGCATACGAACGGGGATGCAATGACCTGGTAAATGGGAGTCAAGGACGGAGCCCTGGTGGGGGAGGAGGACAAAATTCAAATAGAGCTCCTAAGAATAAGTAACCAAAGAATTTAATGCATTGTATCTTTATAACAATAATGTTTGACAGTGAAAACTCTAAATGCTAAAAGATGTAAATCCAGATTAACATATTGGTCAAAAGCTGTAGCTGCAGAGCTTGTACATTTATTATTTTCACAAATCCAACTTATAAAAAGATTTCTGATCTCATCTGGCTTCCATAGATCTGTATGCACTTTCACTTTATCAAAATTATTAATTTGTTATAACAAATTACCAATTTGTTATAACAAATTAATAATTTGTTATAACAAATTAATAATTTGTTATAACAAATTATTAATTTGTTATAACAAATTATTAATTTGTTATAACAAATTATTAATTTGTTATAACAAATTATTAATTTGTTATATCAAATTGATAATTTGTTATATCAAATTAGTAATCTGTTATAACAAATTAGTAATCTGTTATAACAAATTAGTAATTTGTTTTAACAAATTAGTAATTTGTTTTAACAAATTGATAATTTGTTATAACAAATTAGTAATTTGTTATAACAAATTAGTAATTTGTTATAACAAATTAGTAATCTGTTATAACAAATTAGTAATCTGTTATAACAAATTAGTAATCTGTTTTAACAAATTAGTAATCTGTTATAACAAATTAGTAATCTGTTTTAACAAATTAGTAATTTGTTTTAACAAATTAGTAATTTGTTTTAACAAATTGATAATTTGTTATAACAAATTAGTAATTTGTTATAACAAATTAGTAATCTGTTATAACAAATTAGTAATCTGTTATAACAAATTAGTAATCTGTTATAACAAATTAGTAATTTGTTAAAACAAATTAATAAAAGATACTGCTGCGGCCCTAATACGCTTCCGTAGATTCGTGGTAACACCTGGAGGTGGGTCTCTGCTTTTCTCAGCAACAGAGTACAACAGGTTGTCCTTGATGGTGAGGTATCCAGTCCAATGCCTGTGGTCAGTGGGGTTCCTCAAGGGTCAGTCCTTGGGCCCCTCCTATTCTTAATTTTTATAAATGATTTACCATCATCTGTTACATCTAAAACAAGGCTCTTTGCCGATGACTGCATCCTTTATCGACCCATTCATAATCAAAATGACTGTGTAATCCTTCAAAAAGATCTCGACTCCTTATCTAATTGGGAACATGTCTGGGGAATGCAATTTCATCCTCAAAAATGTAGTTCACTTAGTATCACCAGATCTCGCACACCAGTAAAATATAATTATAATTTAAAAGGACACACACTAGAATCTATAAAGACAGCAAAATATTTAGGCATAACATTATCCTACAACATGTCCTGGGAACCACATATCAATAATATAACTTCTAAGGCGAATAAGATATTGGGTTTCTTAAAAAGAAATTTGCAGATAAAAAAATGAAGAAACAAAATCTTTGGCATATAAATCAATGGTCAGGTCTAACCTTGAATACTGTTCTTCAGTCTGGGCACCACATACAAAAAAACTCAAAGATAAACTAGAAAATGTACAAAGACGAGCTGCACGATATGTCACACATAAATACCATAATACAAGTAGTGTCTCCAACATGTTACACCATCTACATTGGCCAGCATTAGATCATAGAAGGAAAATATGTAGACTGATAATGTTATATAAGATTACACACAAATTAGTGGCTATAGATCAAAACCTGTATCTAGTACCTCAGACAACAACCATCACACGTAATACCAGTCCTCTTCATTTTCAGACCTACAGTACACGTACAGATTATTATAAATTTAGCTTCTTTCCCCATACTGTGACTTTGTGGAATTCTCTTCCACACTCAGTCGTGGCAGCAGCCTCTTTGGACCAGTTCAGAACTCTGGTCCAAAGCTATGCTCCATAGCTCTTATATTTATAGAGCTAATTAGAGCACAATGTAAATATATATATAGATATACACCTTTTTCATGCACAATGTAAATTGTTTTCCATAACATTTAGTTCATTTATACTTTCTATGGCACTTAGTTTATTTATACTTTTTAAATTATAATTTAGAGGTCCGTTTGCGCAGGGCCAGCGTATAATCATCAAGTTTGATGGAACGCTGTATTATGTAGATGTAGATGTAGAATCCTGTCACTCAATGTAGTTTATGCCAGGATTTTCACTGGCGGATACAGAGGGACCGAAACAGGGGGCCCGCCCCCCCCCCCCTTTTGTGTCCAAAATATACGATACATAAGATTCAATAAATCATTTTTTTTTATGTGGCCGTGGGCCCCTACCCCACCCCAAACTGCCCCCCCCTTTTCAAGATTCCTGGATCCGCCACTGATTTTTACATGAGTGTTTTGAACTGCATTCTAAAAGGAGAGTGCAATGTACTTTACACTAAATGACTGATTTGAACATATTTTATTGTAGGCCTAATTTATAATAACAAAGGAATTGAACATAAGTTATGAAAACTTATTACGCCTTCTACCTACATATAAATTAC